TGTCCATTGGGGGCCAAGGCACCAGTGGCAGGCAGGAAGTGGGAAGCCTCAGACCCTGATGTCTCCCCCTTGGATATTATCTGAATAAGTCTTTGTAAATATGTGTAAGCCCTGAATGCTGAGAGCCACCAATCAGCCACTTCCACCTTCAGGTTCTGCGACCTCCCCTGGATCCTCCAGGGAAACAGCATCCCAGGCTATTCTCAGACATGCAGCCTACCTGGGCTTTCTGCCGCTTCCCAGGAATGCAAGCACAGGCTCCTCACTCCAGGACCAGTGGCATTCCTCCTCCCTCAACACCTGCTATGTCATCGTGTCACTCGTGCCCCAGTCCTCTCTGACCTCTGGCTCACTCTTAGTGTATCTCCCAAATGTCAACCTGGGCCAGCAGTTCAAAACCAGGAAGGCTCACTTTGTGCCTCGGCAATTATCAGCACAGGGGCTGAGCCGCTCCTCACGAGAGATGGGGAAAAAGCAAACTACTAGAAGAAAAGGAAAACCTTGGCTAGTATTGTAAAATATAATCCTAACCCCAGAATTTACATCTTAATAATGCTTTAAGCATTCCATTGCACTTCTCCAGGCATACCTTTTTTGAGCTTAGCCATCCCATGGAGTAAATGGGACACAGAATTATCCTTACTCTGCAGGCATTGAAACTGTGGCCCTAAGTGATTCTCTAGCCTCCGCATATTCCACAACAGGCAAATTAAGACCGTCAGTGATTTGAGGGACAGGGAGAAGACAGGTTGTTAAATATTTCTGGCTTTTCAGAAACTCCCACTGGACCATGCCTACCAAGCCAAATACTGTATTAATGAGTAAATCGAATATGACAGGACCTGAAAGTGCCAGGAACACCCGCTTGCTTCAAGACAAGCCAAATACACTCAGGTAACAAGCAAACGGTCACAGTCACAGCTGATTATAGAGATGGAAATGCGGTCGGCCGTGCTGTCTACAGATTTGAAGGGCATTCAATAGTATGATAAATCTAGACTCTCAGTCATCTTACTAAATATTTAAAACAGCAGAGCCTAGGCAGTATAACCTTAGCTAACAGGTTCATACATTAAATATACTGAGTAAAATGGACTTAGATCCACTCACTGAATGTAAACTGCAGCTCATCTTTTACACTGCCAATCTCCAGAGTGCAAATGACCTGTTATGGGGCCACTTTGGACCTCTGGCATTTCCCTGGATTTCAGAACTGATAAGAAGTAGCTCAAAAGGCCAGAGAATAGTACAAAATAAACCAAGTGGATAGGGTGAGTCGGTCAGCTGAGGTGAAGTCAGAATTCAGGTTTACTTAACATATCCCAAACTCTGTTTCAGAGGGAAAATAATATGCAAAGATTTGAAAACCCTCTTCAGCTACTTGTCACATCAACCTGAGCAAGCAAGCTGCTTCACTTCTCTAAGCCTTGGTTTCCTCTTTTGTAAAAGGGAAAGAAAATAAAACTTGCCCCACAGAGCCAGTGAGAGTCTTAAAGGAGGTCTGCATATTAAAAGCCGAGCCGGAGCCCTAAGAACATGCCAGCTGCAGTTCTGCTGAATCTGAAAGCAGTATGCGACGTAATCAGCCTGACTTTGAAACGCAGTGACAGTTAACCCATGTTTGCTGATCTAATGTCTTTCTGTGGCAGTGGCCAGAATGGGTCTCACAGACCTCCAACCACAGGGAGCCTGACTGACCAAAGCAGGACCTCCTGGAGGTGCTTGTACAGAGGCCACGCCTCCCAGGGGGCGCTCCCACCGGTGACTAAGAGAACAGGATCTTGGGGACATCTCGGACAGTTGGTTCAGCCTCCGGAGCCGCCCAGCGGCCTTGCTGGGTCTTCCTGGTAATGCAGGGTAGCCGGGCTTGCTCCTTCCCACTCTTGGCTCCCTCTCTCCTGCCCTGGGAGTCAGACCTTCATCACAGGCTTATGCTCTGCCAGGTTACTCGGCTCCTTCCCCATTTTCTCTCCCACAGACTTTAGCCCTGATAAAATTCTTGCATGTTTCATCCTGTCTTAGCATCTTCTTCTCTGAAGACCCAGACTAGCACACTTTCCCACGGTTGTTTTCCCACAGTGGGCAACTTACACTTGTCCTGTGAGGTCCGGACAGTTTGTTTGGCTACTTACCAGTGCTATTTCATCATAGCAGCCACAAGGAAGCTCGAGATGAGAAACAAGAATAACACATCATTGGCAAGGTCATTGTTGGCAAGGCTGGTGTAAAACAGTTCTGAGCAACCATAAGTCTGAAAACTTTTCAGGGAACTACAGTGTTTTGTATTTCTAGTCAAGGAGAGGCTGAAGGGACAGGCTTTTAAAGATAATAATCTTCTTGGTCAAGCAAATTAACCTCTTTAGGCTCAAAGTCCTAGATCAGAACAGAAAGAGCAGATGTTAAATTTCAAACTGGGAGACCGTAAGCTATGTGTTTCCCAAACTTCAGTTATACTTACACTACACTTTTTGGCCAACCCATGTACCATCCAAATGCATTGTTTTTCTTCAAGTAAATTCACTTTAACTTAAATTTTAAAAAGCAAAGTTTATATCAGAATGTTAACTGGAAAGGTGTCATTTACCATAAACGGAGATAATGTTATTAAAGTCTACTTAGATGCTAAAACTTGAAGAGTTTAGACCCTGGACCTGCCTTCTGTTAAAACTACAGATGAATGTTAAATACAGGCTAACACCAAAGACTTTACAGAAGGACTGAAAGAGTCGTGAAAGGCACTGACAATGAATGTGGTTTCTTCTCCTTGAAGACTGGCTCCAGGGCATGAGCCAAAATCACCTCAATCATCTCTTTACCATGGGCTCTTTACCACACATCCTGTACTTTGGACCGTCTATAGTTCAGTTTTTCCCCTTTAAGAGGTGTTCAACTCAGGGGTATGGGCTCACTGACCAGACACTGACTCAAATAAATAGTGTATTTATTAGTTCAGCATTATCCTTGGTTTCTAACAAGAATTTAGTACATCTAAGCAGCTGGGAGAGCCAGGATCCACCTACTTGGAACTGTCTTAATCAAAACTAAGAAACAGAAAGTTTGTCTTTGGTGTCTTCCATCTCTTCTTTTGTACCCCTCTAATTCCTCATTCCCCATCGAAGTCCCAGACATTCTTTTGCCTTTTGATGCTCAGAGGTCTCCCTGGGAGTTAGATCTACCCAGACCTAACTTCTCTTCATGCTAGTGCTCAACCCTATTTTTCTACCCAGCTTATTAAAGCTGATTGAACTATTTCACACCAATATGTATATGACCCCAAACTGGCTTAATGCTGTGACCTTCCTAGAGGTATTCAAAGCTGCTTTTAAAAACACATTTTTTATTATCTAATTTCTCCCTTTCAGCTTCCTCTCAAACTACTTGACCACAAAGGCCTGGTTATTTTTAAGATCAGTCATTTTGATGTGGCTCCATTCCTACTCTTACTTCAGGATATTCTGGCTTCATCTAGCTGGCCAAATACTCATTCTCCTGTCTCCTATAAATGCTTTCTTATGCAGGCCATCAGGGTTGCAGGTATTGCATAAGGCCTGATGTGGTCTCAGCTCTGCCCAAAGGCCTAGGATCTCAAAAGCTGGAAGGCCAAGAGGTCTAGATCAGCCAAGCCTCTGAGATCTGAACTTTTATTATTTGTGGTAAGGGCTCCATTTAGCCTGAGTCAAACGATCTCACCCCCAACCAATGTATCAACTCAAAACAATCAGCTTTATTATTTTTTAATTGAAGTATCATTGATATACAATCTTGTATTGGTTTCAAATATGCAACACAGTGGTTCAACAGTTACCCATGTTATTAAATCCTCACCCCCTCTAATGCAGTTACTATCTGCCAACATAGGAAGATGTTACAGAATTGTTGGCTATATTCTCCATGCTGTACTACCATCCCTATGACCAACTTACATTATGGCTGAGAAATTTTGTGGCCCTCTATCCCCTTCACCCTTCGCACCTACCCAGCCCAACCCCTCCCCCATGGTAGCCACCAGTCACTTCTCGGTGTCTGAGTCTACTGCAGCTTTGGTTTATTATTACAAGTCTATTAATTAGTTGTACTGAGGTTTTCTTTTTGAAACGTATTTCTGGTAATGAGCTGTTGTTAATAGATTCTAATAGACTAATACTACTCCTTATTGAAGAAGAAAATCCTAAAAAAAACTTTGCTCTTGCCAAGGCTTAAACACACACACGCACGCACCACCAAATCTGGAGGTGAACGGTGCAAAGATCAGCCTGTGCTATATTAACACACTGCTTTGTTTTAGGTAAACAAGGCAACCGGCTCTGTGATTTAGCCCTTCATTTTCCATACACATTCCCTTCCCACTCCAATACCCACCCTTTGGTTAAAACAGAACTCAAACAAGAAGCCTAAGGTCAAAGCTCTGCCACCTAATCAACCCAAAAGATCAGGACTTCCTGATTTTCACTGAGGTGTCTCTGCAGATAAGCAGTAGGATGCTTTCAGCGGGCGAGTGTCGGTCTGAGGAGTCAAGATACGCGAACCACTTAGTCCTCAAAAAATAACTGAAAGCAAAGGAAAGGCCCTGGGATTCCTTTCTGAGGTCTGGGATCCAAGATCCGGCAATTCCAGAGGCTGCCAAGGGGGTGGGAAACTGAAATGATATTGACCCTCCCAGATCCCTTCCGGGGCTTAGGGTGGAACCCACACGAGATGAGAAATAATGACACAGCAAATGAACATCTGTAAAACAAAGGTTTACTACAACATGCTTTCACACAAGACTTTCTCATTATAGTCAAGAATCTTGACCGGGAAGACCGGGCAAACGCGGCCGGCCCAGGCTCCACAGACCCGGAAGGGAGTCGCGGGGTGCTTCGCGACCTGCGGGCGGACCCCCTTCCACGCCCCGAGGGCTCAGCCGGGCCCCGGGCCTCCAGCCCCGCCCCTCTCCGTCCGGCCGCGTCGGGCGCGCAGGTGCTCGCCACCAGGGGTCCCCCGCGCGCCCCGCGGCGGGCCCAGCCCGGCCGCCCGAGCCCGGGGAGCGGCCGGGCCCCCGCGCCTCCGCCCTGGCCGCCGGGCTGGAGCGGGGCGGCGCCTCGCTGAGGGGTGGGCCCCCTACTTTCCTCCGACTCAAAAGCCCCGGCGTCGTGGGGCACGCTCCGCCCGAGTCCTGCCGCCGAGCGCCTCGGGTCCCAGTCCCGCTGTGTCCGCCGCCATGGCCAAGCCCCTGACAGACCAGGAGAAGCGGCGGCAGATCAGCATCCGCGGCATCGTGGGCGTGGAGAACGTGGCCGAGCTGAAGAAGGGCTTCAACCGGCACCTGCACTTCACGCTCGTCAAGGACCGCAACGTGGCCACCCCCCGCGACTACTTCTTCGCGCTGGCACACACGGTGCGCGACCACCTGGTGGGCCGCTGGATCCGCACGCAGCAGCACTACTACGAGAAGAGCCCCAAGGTACCCGCCGGGGCGCCGGAGCGACCCGCCCCACCCGTTCCGGCCCCCTTCCCGGGGAAGCGTCCCCCCCCAGAGCTCGGGGAGACGAGCCGGGCGGAGGACTCGGCCGCCTCACGCGCCCCCTTTCCCGTCGCGGCGCCGTGCCCCGTCCCTCCTCTGCTGTCCGCCCCTGGGGACCGCCTGTGAGCAGCCGCCCAGCCTCGCTCGCCTGTCACTCCTTTCACGAACTTTTTTTTGAAGCATCTACTCTCAGCATTTAATCAGGAGGCATCGGGCACCTCTTTGCTATATGTCAGGCTCAGTTCTAGGCCCCCGGCACTGGGCCCTGACCAGAACGGACAGAAGCCCTGCCTTGGGGAACCTCAGTGCTTAGGGAGGGGAAACTAATACTGAGTTCGCCAAAGGGGCGGGGTGGGGGAGGCAGAAACGGGGGGTCGAAGGAGGCTGCCTCGCTGCCCGGGGCGCCTCTGGAGCACTAGACCGGGGGACGCGGGACGACCCTGGAGTCCTGGGCTTCTCCAGGGGACTGCCTGAGGCGGTGGAGAGGGAGGGGCGGGGGTGGCCACCGTCAGGGCAGTGCCCCAGCCGCCCGCGGTTCCGACTGCAGAGGGTGGAGCTCCTGCGCTTCCTCCATTCCCGCGGGACGGGGGCTGTGGGCCAGGGCGGCTCCGAACTGCAGGACCTCCCACGGGAGCCGCTGAGGAAGGTGGTTCGCAGAACAGCGCTACCTGCTGCGCGGGGGCTGGAATGGAGGGTTCCTTAGGGTGCTCTGGAGCACACAGAGGGGCCCTATCTCCGCCTGGCCAGTCTGGGGGGTTGAGGAGGGCCTGGCAGGGAGAGGCACTGTGTTATGCAGAGTGAGGGTGAGGTGGGTGTGAGTCTGTACTGGGAGAGGAAACTGGAAAAGCTGGTTGAAGGCAAATGGCAAGGGTGAAAGATGGCTATATCCTGGAGGCAGTGGGAAATACACATAAAGGTTTATTAGAAATATTTTCAATATGGAAAAGCACAAAAAATAATAGAACATAATCCCAGTGCCCAAGCACCAGTAAGCGAAAGAAAGTAAATTTGTATAGTAAGAAACAGCAGCTATAACAAAGCTGTCAACTGAAAGTAAGCCTTCCTCACCCCAGAAACCTAGGCCTCTTCCTAAAGGTAGCAGCTACTAAAATATATCCTTAGAAAACACTTCGTGTTTGTGTAAAAAATGCATATATTAACCAGGTTTTTTGGTTGTTTGCATAAAGGGCACTGCCCTTGTGTTAAAAGATTATTTTTAGAAATTTTAAGCTGGAGAGTGAGATGTTAAGCTGTATTTTAGAACCTTATCTTCCACACCACACCCCATTCCCACCCCACCCCTGACACTCACCTCCATAGCATTACTACTATAGAACACGCTTGCCTTTTATGTTTCTCCTCCAGGGGCTTATCTGGGACTTTATAGTTTTCCTGCTCTCTGTCTAGTTTCTTAGCTGGGCAATGCTTTCCTCCTTGAGTGCAGGCATAAACCAGGTTTTCTGGTAGTGATACACTGGGAATACAACAGAGAACGTGATTCATTCCACACAGGTTAACAGTATCTAAGCTGAGAGTCTTTCACCTAAACAAGAGGTCCCACCCTCAGAGAGCATAGAGTAGAGCCAGCAGATGTGTCCAGGCTTCCCTCCCACCTCTCCTGCTCTTAGTAAATGTGCACATGGATCCGAAATCTGGATCTCTAGTCTGAATTATTTTTCAAATTCCATTCCTAAATGCTTGGTGAACATACCTAGACCTTCCTCTATTTCTTTAAACTCAGCATGTTAAAAACATATATCATTATCCCTCCCAATCTTGTCTTACCTTTTATGTTTCTAGTTTTAATGACATTACCATCCTGACAGTGACCCAGACACAGTACTTTAGTCTCACCTTTGAATTCTTCCTCTGTTCCCTTCCAAATTCTGTTGATTTCTGCAGGTTCCCTTGAAATTACCCACTCTCCTCCATTTTCAGTTCTTGCCTAACTGAGGCCCTGGCTACTGGTCTTCAGTGAAGAAGACTTGCAAGTGATTATCTTGCTTCCCAGAAGGGGTAAAACTGGCAGCATGCATCTGAATATGGCTAGCAGACATCTTTAAGCAGTTCACTTTTCAGTACCTTCCTGCAGGACATGTACACTCCAGTTCTTGGCCCAGTGTTTTATATGACCTCCATTACACATTTAGTTTCTCTGCCTGGTTTCTGAAGGCATTTGAGTTTTTAGTCCCATCTCATTCTATGCACTGTAGTCTGATTAAACTTTCTAAAGCAACACATCTTGCCCTCTACTCAGATATCACTGGCTTCCATTGCCCACCACAGTCCTTAATCAAGCACTCCGGGCCCTTCTAAATCCAAGTGAACCTGTCCCCCTCTCTCATCTCCCATTACCTTCCTGGACTTGCCTTACTGTCGCACCAAACCAATTTACTGTCCCCATCCCTGTCCTGTTCCCCTCCACTTCTGGGCCTCTGCCTGCACTGCACCCTTCATTTGAAATACTTTTCCCACCACATGTCTCTGCTCAAATATCCTGTCCATCAAGTCAGTTGTGTTCCCACCTGTTGTTTACATCTGCCTAGAAGTACCCAAGGCTTCTCATTAATGCTGGGAATAATTTAAATTATTTTTAAGATACTGGCTATTTTTATACCTTTATTTTTATCTTCACAAGCCTTATGGAAAATGTGTACTTTTTATAAAATATACATGAAATGTTAGTAGTTTGTACATATAATTTATAAGGTGCACTGGAGATGTGCAAATATTTACTACTAAGAGTACATTTTAAATGTCTAAAACTAACTAAGAGGTTGGGGGAAATGAATTTTTCAAGGTCTTTTATATCTCAAAATAGAAGGTGAGGTTTCTCCCAAAAGAAATCATGAGGAAATAGGGAATCACCTTAAATTCATGTCTAGTAAAGTCTGTCATGTAATGAGGTACTTTCTCAATTATTTTAAACAACATTTTTATAGGAACACCTTGAACTGTCCTAGAATGTCTTAAGTCCATACTAACTTGTAATCATTGAAAGGGAGGCAAAGAAATTTAACAGATATAGTCGTTATTCCTGGGGGTGTGACCTCACAATTACTAGTGTTGGATATATGCACTGTATTTATAAGCAAGCTGTTTATAGATCACTGAAAAGTAAAAAGCAATGCATAGTGGTTAAATCATAGAGACAGTGAAAATACACACAGGGAAGAATTTTTAAAAACTTCCCTAATGTTATGCAAATGGGTATTTCTGGCTTGAGGTACTCTTTCCTGGGATGCAGTGGTCTCATGTACAAAGTCAAAGTGTACAGCCCTGGGGGTGAGTGGAGCCAGGCACCCCTTTGACCTGTGTCTGCCACAGGAAAAGATACCTTTTTCTAACTATACAAAGGCATCTAATAAGCTGATGAGATCCTAATGACCTTATTATAGATATTCAAACAACTTGGATAAAAATAATGATGATGTGCTCTGGAAAACACTGTTAGGTGATCCACTAAGATAAATATGTTGACTATCCATGTGAAGACAGACTTCAATTGTTTCATAAAATTAAAGGGGGGGAAAAGTGGAATTTCTAAATTGACATTTTCATGTAATATTAAACATAACTAATGAGTTAAAATTATAATAGGCATTTGTATATTGAACTTGTTACATATAACTTATTATGTATATAAATGTAATTTTTTTTATTTTTGGGTTGACCAAATACTTTTCTTTTTGGATCTTCATATTGGGAAATGAAGGAGTCCCTTAAATTTGAAGTGACTTATTGATGAATTTATAGATTTTTGTTGTTTTGTGTTTGATAGAAAAGGAAAGGGGAACTGATATAGAAAATAAGATATTGTAAAAGGGGATGATGAAGTTACTAATCTTTTTTTTTTAATTAGCAAACTGCTTGTATTTTAAAAGGTTTTAGGCAAGCTGACCTTTGCACCTATTCACTTTCAACTCTGATAGTATTTACCTGGCTTCTACTATGTCAAGGCAAACAGTTTCTAAATTCATCAATCTCCCATTTCATCCAGAACAAGCACCAATAAACCTGAGGTAGTCTTTGTTTTTTCCAGTTCATAGATTTTCTAAAATAATTTTAATTCTAAAGTAATTAATTGTAATGTTACTTACAATAATCAGCCAAAGAGGAATACCTTCTAGCTATTGGATGCATCTTCAAGGAGTTAATTTTTTGTGTTTCTTAGATGACTTGACATGGTCACAGCCAATCCCACCTGCCTCTATAAATATTTTATAAATGAATATGGGCTGTGGTAGTCTTGACTTCTGTTTGTCCAAAGCTTATGTTTAATTCATGAGGCTCATGAACAGACAAAAACAGAACATGGAATCTAATTAGTTGGGTGAGTTTGCTTTTATTCTCCCTGAAGGCAAAAGATACTGAACTACTTTGCCCAAAATAGGGTATAAAGTGGATTTTTCCCAAGTCAGTTGTCAGTAATGCTCTTATTTAGCCCTTCATACGTCTCTAGGAGTCTCATTTGAACCTATTGTAAAGTAGTTCCATCTGTTTCATACTGGTACCCTTGTATTTTTATGTTGACAAGGTTGGCCTCACGATATTTACATGACCTGTTTTTTCTTTATTTCAGAGGGTTTATTACCTCTCTTTGGAATTTTATATGGGCCGAACCTTACAGAACACCATGATCAACCTTGGCCTGCAAAATGCCTGTGATGAGGCCATTTACCAGGTACACTGTCTCCCCTTCAATTTCAAGTTCAGTTCAGGAAACTTGAATGTAGCACCCCCCAAAAAAGTGAAAGATTGCTTCTATACACATGACTATTACAAATTGTTAGACATACAAACTACTGGTAACCACTGGTTTAACAGAAACAAAGTTAGAGAACTAGTTTTGCCTCATGAGAATTTTCTTTCGCAGTCAGTATTCCCCAGCAAATTACCCTTTAGAAATCAGCTTATAAACAAGATTTTAAAAGTATTTGAGTGCTTGTTATCAGAATCACAAGCTTTACTTTGGAGTCCTAGCTACTGTACTTTTAAAAATGATTGAAGTTTGGTTGTTATTCATATATCAAGGCAATATGTGAAAATAATACATTTTTTAAATCCCATCTTAATGCTTTCTCTATTGCTTAATGAGATGTACAATACTTCCAACTTAAATGAGGAGACTGAGACCTTTATCTAATATGTTAATTTGTTTTATGAACATCTTTAACTGTTTCTTCCCTGAGGCTCGGTGATCTCCATACTGAAATCAAATAGTCCTTAACCTTCTTGCTGTGGTTGAAAGAAGGAATGTGTATTTGTAAAGACACGTTCTAAATGGGAGATGGTTCAAACTGCTCCTTTTCCCTGGCATGGGATTGTCCCCACAGCCAACGACTTCTCACTAAGAGCTGGTTTCCTTCGTGGAGGTTAGGGAGGGTGTTGCCTGTGCAAGGACTGTTGCAGCTCCCTTCTGCTTCCCTTTTATTTGCTTCCCCTGATATCAGCTAAAAGTGACATACCTCCCTTGGCCTAGCATATAACCACGTCTCCTTGCTCAAGATTTACAGCCTACTTTGGACTTATATTTTTATAATTTAAAAAATCCCTCTACACACCAGGGAGAAATTTGACAGCCACCTTCAGTAATGAAGAGAAGCAAAGCCATTTTTAAATTCTTAGAAGATTAAGTTATCAAAAGTCATGTGAGAAAGCAACTTTCATTGTAAGGGTGGGATCCAAGTAGGTGACTCCACAGAAATTGGGCCATGAACTCCAAGCATAGTTACATCTTAAATATATGTTTTCAAATGTGTCAATTATGTTTCCATTTTAAATAATATAACATTTCATGAAGTACATCACTTTCAGATAAGAATGCAACCATTTCACCACACACCACCATGAGCCAAGCATGGACTAGATTATTATCTCGTCAACATAGGACAGGTCATTTTATTTATCTGGCCGTCAGTTTCCTTATTGTAAGGTGAGCTGTCCAGAGTGATCTCCAGGGCTGCAGAATTCTGACACGAGTCCATGAAGTGCTAGTGGCCTCTGACTGTGTGAGTCCCAACACTTCGGGGCAGAGGACTGGCTGGCAACCAGTTCCATCCACCACCAAGGTTACACACACAGCTTGGCCTCCCACAGTCTTTTATCCAACCTAGAGAGAAGTAAGGAATTTTAGCCCTGTCCAGCTGGACCAGAGCTGAGGTTTCCCTGACTGCTGTCTGGCCCCAATCTCATGGGCTGTGACTCACAAACTGGTTTTGGGTTAACGACTGTTGACCCTTCTGAGTAAATATGTTGTGATCATAAAAAGGTGAACTTTAGTCCATCCCAGAAAGCCTAACCTCATATCTTTTTATAATTTTCTAAAGATAAGACCAGTTAATGTCAGCTTGGTACTGGACTATTTCTGAGGTTTAACCCCAACCACACAACAAAATAATTTTAAGAAATAGTATTAGCTAACATTCCTTGAGGAATGTCTGCCCAGAAATAACTCTACCTGCTTTGTTTGTATAATCTCATATAAATCACAACAGCCCTAAACAAGGTAGATCCTGTTATCCTCATTTTTTAAATAAGAGAAGACAGACATAGAGTGACTAAGTACCTTGTCCAGGATCACATAGCTGAGCAGTAGCAGAGTTAGTAGTGTACAGTTAGAGCCTATTCTCTTCTCCAAGCTGCCACTGTGCCATCTCGTGCAGTTTGCACCCTCAGTTGCCAGCCTCTGCAGTGGGCATCTGATGCCAGGACAAGCTTCAGGGGAGCTGGCAGGATGAGTACACAGATGAATCTGGGTGCCCGGACAAGAGCTTTAGGAAATGACCGTTCTCTCTGAAATGGCCTGCATTTGTATCTGCATTCAGTGCTGTTTTCCTTTCATCACCAGCTTGGGTTGGATATGGAGGAGTTAGAAGAAATTGAAGAAGATGCTGGGCTTGGCAACGGTGGTCTTGGGAGGCTTGCTGGTAAGTGACATTGTGAGTGTGTTATGTTGTCTGACTGACCACTGGCCTTCTCAGATGCCATGCATGACCATGCTTAGAAGAACCAGTCAGGCTTTCCAGAAGTGCAAGGTATGATCTGGTTATAGATATATTTCTGTGTGAGTTTGCACTGTTGTTTAGTCAATTGCAGACAAACAGTAGAGAAGGGAACTTAAACAAAAGAGACATTGCTTAAAACTCCAAAGTTAACTCTTCCTGTGCACTGAGAGTTTCCAAAAATGGCTCCTTTACTTCCCTGTTACTTGTGCACAGCTGCTCAGTTCACATACTTGTGTGGTGTTACCTAAGTTGTTTAATATGTTGTCTTGTGCACTTGACAGTTTGCTTTTTGACTGACCAGTAGGCAATGATACAATTGTTATAGCATTGGTATGACCTAGTTTATTAATATCCTTTTTGTATGGATGCAATATGAGCTCTTTGCTTTATCCAGGAAATGATTTTCAACAAGTGTAGAGGAAAACATTAAAAATATAACACCAACTCTATTAAATTAAAAACATGCATCCTGATGACCAAGTAATTCTACATCCTGGTATTTGCCCTAAAGAAGTACTCAAACATGTACACAAAGAGGAATGTGAAAGAAGTTGTTACAGTATTTTTTGTTGAAGTGAAGTGTTACCCTACCATAATATCCAAGTGGTAGAACATCCATGTTACAAAATAATATGCATCAACCTAAAAGACCAAAATTGATCTATATGTACTACCCTGGGTAGACCTCCAACTGGAAAACAACACTAAGTTGAATTAAAAGCCATTCAGTCTGATGCTATTTATGTTTTATAAAAAATTACAAATTTTCTGATGTGTATGTGTAAATCCACAAGAAAAAAAGAGTCTGAAATACTGAACTACCCACCATGACCTTTCCTAGAGAAAGAGTGCAGAATTGTAGGTGGTGGTAAAGGGGATTCTGTAACATTTTAATGTTTTTTACAAGGAGGATGTATTACTTGCAAAACTTAAATTTAAAAATAAAAATGTACCACCATACATGTATCAGATTGTGCTCTATGAAAAATAAATATCTTTTTTCTCTTTAAGAAATAATTCCAAAAATCTCTTAATTTTATACATACTTTCAGGTTACTAGAAACCCATTTGCATGTTTCATATTATTTAATCCTTATACATTCATTGCGGTGTGATTTAACATTACAATTAGTAATAGTAAACACTGCCTTTGGGCTACTTGCCACCTTGTGAAATCAATGATCAGACAATTTAGTACACTTCCCATGAGGCTGTGGGTAGACCAGAAGAACCACTGGCATGCATATCTAAGAACACCAGTCTGCCTGCCTTTTATGTAAAGCCCAGGCCTTCAGTGTTTGTTGGCTGTGTTAATCCCACTCTGTGCCTGACCTCTCTGTGTAATGAACCTCGCTCCTTCAGTTGGCTGATAAGATCAAAGAATGAAGTGGCAAATGAAGCTGAGTAATTCTAATTAGGTTATATTATCTCTTACTTAACTAAAAAGGCTAGGACCCCATTCTGGTCAGGCTTTAAGGCTAATTTGATCAGGACCCAGGAAAAGACAAATAGCCACAGCTCTTAGAGAGCCAGGCCACGTGAGCATAGGGACTGGAAGACCACACCCATGTTATGTTACAATAACTTGGAAGCCTTAGCCATTGGCTTTTGTGGGTCTCTGTTTCAGGGTTCCACCAAGAATCTTACTCAGTCCCTTTCTGTTTGATCTACAATTTTCAGTGTTCTTTTCAGTTGTAGGTTCTATCGTACATTCCCTCATTCTTTGTGTATTTCTCAGTTCAGATTCCTCAGAGAAATAGTCTGATTAGTGTAACCTCTGAGATTGCATCTGGCCACAACATAGATCCCTGCCTAGTCTGTTGACTGGATGCTCTGAATTGGGTGCTCTGTCATTAATGCTCTTGGTTACAAATAATAGAAAACCTAGCAAAAAACGGTTCAGCCAACCAGGACATGTGTCGTCACAGAACAAAAACTCCAGAGGCTCATCTCATCCAAGTTGAGTTTTTTCAGCAGTGAAATTCTGTCAGAACTCTGGGTTTCTGTATTCTTTTGGCTTCCTGTCATAGAAAAAATGATGGCGCAGCAAGGAAAATATTTCACCGCATCCAGCAGACTTCCTAGCACCTCACATTGGATTGCATGTCCTTGCATGCCCAGGCCAAACCCAGTCACTGGCGAAGGAAATAGAATGACTATGATTGGCTTAGAGGCTTAGACCAATTAAGCAAGATCCACTTCCTCATCCAGCCTCCCTGAAGCATATGGCCATCTGATACTTGAATAACACTGGAATTCCATTAGCCAGAGAGTCTGCCACTCAGTCCAGCTAATCAGTCAAGTGGTCACATGTAAATTGTATTCTTCCAGGGCTATCTTTTCAAGCAGGGGCCATGGAGGCAGCTTCCCTTAGAAAGGGCAGTGTGAGTAACAGACACAATAACGGACATATCTAATGCAGGCCAGTTTCCTTTTCTGTTCTCAAATGAAATGCCAATTCATTTTATAATTTTTGAAATGTTAACTTAATATCCACTGTGTGGTAGTCTCTGTACTTTAAAATACAAATGTAGTTTCTCCTAGAAACATATTTTGTGGCTGCTTTGTTTTTTAGAGAAAGACCTGAAATGTTTACTAAACCTGATGACTCTGCCCTTTGCCTGTGTTCTCTTTAATTTAGCCTGCTTCTTGGATTCCATGGCAACCCTGGGACTTGCAGCCTATGGATATGGCATCCGATATGAATATGGAATCTTTAATCAGAAGATCCGAGATGGATGGCAGGTATGTGAGTCCACTTTTTAAATTTTGTCATTAAAATACTTCTCTTTCATAGCATCTTTGGTGATTTCTAATTTATAGACATTTAACAGAGCTTTACTATTTCTCTAGCATTAGATTGACACCAGTGACTAGTGTCAGTCTTCTCCCTTTGGGATGTAAGTTCCCTAAGAGCAAGAGCCTGCCAGTGTTATTCACCACCAGAGTGCCTGACTCATGAGGTTGCTCTAAAAATATTTACCACTGACTGCCCGAATATGGACTGCCTACAAGGTACAATGTCCATTTTCTGAAGCTTGCAAAATGGAAGAGCACATCTTTTAACTCATGATCTTCCCCAGTAACCCTTGATGGTAGAAAGCATATGCCATTTCACAGGTGAGAAACATGAGGCTCTTAGAAAGTGGAGCCACCTCAGATCAGACTGCCCCAGATTTCCAGGTCCACATTCAATGTTCTTTTCTACTCTCAATCTTGCCTCCTGACCATGCCTATCTTATGAGATACATAAGCTCAGGTGTTCTAAGTTTTTTATAAGATGACAGCAATCATTATTATTACATCAAATAAATCTGACAATATTTTTAATATGTATCATTATAGCACTATGGTAGAAATTTGCACAAATAGTAATCAATCCATACAAATTACTCTTATTTTAAAATAAACCAAATTCTTAAATATTTGTTTCTTTTATATTTTGTAACTCTTTGAGTGAACAGTTAACACTAATGTGAATAGTTTTCCCTGATGCTAAGTGTGATATAGGCTTTCTGTCCCCCATCTTTATCTCATACACACATACACCACTGACAAAGATATGGATTTGTTTTCCCAAAAGCCTGACTGAGCCCCTCCCATACTTCCAAGAGACAGTCCCAGGCAGCATGCTCTGGGGTTGAATGGGGGAACCTAGGCCAGAGCTAAGCCTGGGGAAGAGGAAGGATGAGAACAAGCTGTGTTGCCGCCATCCTCTCTCCCCTCTCTCCGTACGTGGGCTGCCCATCTCTGGCCGAGGAAGGATTTGGTCTGATGGGCAAATGCACCAAGGACAAAGTCTCTGAAGGAGAATGTACTGAAAGACTTGTTGAAAGACAAACTTCCAAATGTTGTTTAGGGCCAGTGTATCTTCCGTTACTCCTAAATAAATTAGGAAGCAGCATTATGTAGAAAAAACATTAGGCCCCTAATCTGAGATCTAATTTCTAATTGGAGGCCTAATTGCAGGTCATAACCCTTTGGGAACGTGGCCTCGATTAGGTCACCTAACTTCTTTGAGCCTGTTTCCTCATACGCAAAATGGAGATGCTCCTGCATGGAATTATGAAAATATCCTAAATGTCTGGCACACAAATAGAATAGGCACTAGAAAGAATGTTAATTTTGCCTACGAAAAAGATAATCTAAAGAATTGTGGTATATAACAAAGTATTAACATGCCCATTAATATTATGTGTTTCATTGTAATGAAATGGGAAACTGTTAGTTGAAAAAAGGAAGAACAGTATCAATCATATGGATGGTATGAACTATCCAAAGGAAGCAAAAAGGATAAAGGAAAGATGCTAGAGAAAAAAATATGTATCAAAGCTTCAACAGTTCTGAGAGACAGGATTAGGTGATTATACTATCTTATGTTTTCTTTTCTACAAGCCTTATATTCCATAAGAAATGTGTATTTCATAATCACAAAAAGCTATAAAAATAAACTAGTTGTTTCAGGTACATTTTTCCCAAAATTCTATCCAAGTTCACTCTTTTTAAATCATGCCTGCTACCTTTGCTACTTTTAAATGGTGTTTATGCCAGGAAACCATCCCTTTCTCTCCTATCAGACTCAGGAAGTGTATATTTCTCGTGTTCTTGAAGAAAAACAGAGACCACCTGGCTTTTGCTAGTCTCCAAAGCTTGCCTCACCAGCCATCATCACTTCTTTCATGACGACTTGAAATTGAGTCAGAAAGACACAGGATTTTATTTGCTATATCACACTATTTACATAAAATATACATCATACCATAAAAAAGAAACTATTTCCATAAAAGACAAAAACTACATTCCAGGGAGGCAGCATGCCTCTTCAAGGTATGTTCAGCTCCCAACTCACATCAGATACATCATTGCTTTTGCAGTGGAAAATTACCCTGGCTAAAATTGCACAAGCTGGGAAGATTTTTAAAGGTTGATAGACTTTTATTAGTTTTTGAACTCTGTCTACGAGGAAGGTTTACAGTAATAAAACGTTCATTGTGAAGCCCCCTAAGGACAATAACTTTATTGCTAAAATTTTTGACTTACTGTGAACTCTAATGGGGATCAGTGAAGCTTTATCAGTAATAGTACTCTATGAAAATAACTGGTCACTGGGAGAAAAAGGGGGAAAAACGATTGCAACAACCTCACATTGAAGTTTAATAGTCACACACCAAAGTTCTGAGATACAGTGGGTATCTCAGAGTTGAATTCAATAGTGTCTACTGTAGCCCTTCTGTCTGAGAACCCATGCCAAGCCTGCTCTAACTAGTCATGCACAGTTAACATTACCCAGCAAGCTTCTGGTTATCACAGTTGAATTCTTGTGCACTTGACTTATTTGTACCATCTGAGAGCGTTTTGTTGACTACTCCTGATGCTTGGTCACTGGTTCTCCATGTCCTATGTATCCCACAGTTGAGGGGAAAAGTGTTTCTTAGAATTCAGTCACTAACAGAGCTCTCTGAGCTGACCTCTGTTTCCATGCTGGCTGGAATAGATACCATTGAGTAATATCTCTAGAGAGGTTCCAAGGCCAGGCTGCTACCCCCACCCATACTGGCATGCTGCTGCTCCATCCTGTGCCTGCATGCTTACAGACCCATGCTTGCTTTGTCTCAGCTCTCTTTCATTTATGATGTTCAGATCCAACAGCCAACTTGGATGTATATGGAAGCCCTTATCCCATCTTGAATCTGCCCTTCATATGGCTCAGCATGTTAGTGCATTCAGGGATTCCTGGCTACATGAAAATCTAAATTTACAGACCAATTTGTTGATTCATTGGTCAGCAACATAGAGAGGAGGTCATTACCATCCTTCAGCTTCTGTGGCTAGAGAGGATCATGGGGACCGGTGGGGGGCAGGGGGCAGTTCTCTTTCTCCTCTGATCTACTTAGACCAGCTTGTGGTTATGAAATATCTATTTTTCAATTTACCTTGGGAACAAGCCTTGTAAAATTGAGGGAATTATTAACTGATTCATTGCTGAATTGGGAAAAGACTCAAAATGAACAGCAAGCTAGGAGTTCTGTTCTCCTATAAAATTTGCTAACCCAGTGAAATTAAAACCAGCCTTTCTTTGGCAGGGAAAAATTAGACTAACTTTTGATAGTGTTAAGAGTAATCAGCTGACTAGTTCCTTGCCACTTAACAGTATACCCTCTGAAGAGCAAAGGCAACCTCTGGCTTACACAGAATCTGCAAGTGGGCCAGCTGTGGGAAGCTGAGTCCATCCTCTCTTCTAAGAGAATTTCAAGCTGCTTGTGGGTAAAACAGTCTGATCCTGCAGCATTTCTCAGTAGAAAATACATTTTTTCAGCTCTTCTGTGCACACAATTTCTGAGACGAAAGCTGTATTTCTGCTGCATCATCCATCTATTTTGCGTAGATGTGTTTTTCAACAGTCCTGAATGCTGAAATGAGGCAAAGAGTCCTTACAGTTCTTTCCTGTTACAGGAAGCAGTGTTCACATTGACCAGTATTTGGAAACCCAAACCCGTCCTTGCCTAAGTGCAGCATAAAGCGTTTTGTAAGTCAGGATGTTTTGATCCTTTGTGGATATCCTCACTTATTTGTCACAGAGTTTATAGTTATTAACACAAGCTACTGGACTCTACTTTAAACTAGCTTCTCATGAACTGATAAAATTCAGTCATTTCCTTATTAAAATTTTTATTTTTTGTTCTCTTTCTGACTGAAATAGCAGAAGTCTAAATTCTGAATTAGTTACTGCCTTTGTATCACCATGTAGCTCCTGGTTGCACCATATAGCCCCCAGGGACTTGTTAAAAATGCAGAATTTCAGAGCCCTCCCCACACTGACTGAGAATCTGCATTTTAACAAATGTGATTTGCAGATTAGCTCAAATTTAGCTACAGCCTGCCTTCCCTAGGCTTCACCCTGCATGTGGTGCATGTTCTTGCCTCCAGCCACTGAGTCCCAGATCTTGTGTCTAAAATGTTTCTTTGAGTTTCCTTTTCATTCATAATCATGCCGGTAGCTAGTAATAATGGATAGCTTACTGGATTTCTTGATATAAAGTCATCATTAATATTAAAATAAATGAATATGTATTTGCTTGTCTGGCTGTTAACATTTTGCATAGTATCTCAAAAGACAGTAGTTATGTTTCTGTCTCCACATTGCCTTGAGCTGGCATTGAACTCATATTTAGGTAATTATGAAGCATCCAGCATTGTGTCATAATTCTTAAACAATATCTTCTTAAGCTAAAGCTGAGTTTCCTAAGAGGGTAGGCTAAGGACTCAAACAGGTGAAAGAACCATATTTGGCATAATCTCATTGACATGCAACTTTGTACTAAAAAGCCATATCCCTCCTTCTTGTCAAAACACAGTTGAATATTTAAATATATATGTGATATTTTAGTTTTCACTAATAATATCTTTACTTTAAAAATATATCCCCTAATTGTGTTTTTTGTTGTTTTGGCATTTTTGTTTCTTTGCTGCAAACCAAAATTTATTTGATTTCCTAAATTAAAGGTATGATTTTAAAATTTTTATAGAAAGTATTTTGTTATAAATTAACAGAAATACATGAAAAAGTTTTGAAATTGTCAATAAAATTAATTCCCTACCTCTTAGTATATTCTTTTCAAAGTGAACCATAATTACTTGTTAATTATCAGATCAAAATTAGATAAAGATTAAATTAAACAGACTACAAAATGTAAGTGTCCTCTATCCATGCTGAAATAAGCTTTACTAAGGGAGCTTTCTATGAGTAGCATTTCTTGGCTGATTCTATTCATTCTAGGCACCAGAATCTTGACAGAAACCACTGTGTGGAACCCATCATATCCAGATATCCAACTATAAACATCTCTGGATGGCCTCTCTCTTTTCCTCAAGCTGGACAGTTGGATTCACAGATGTTAAGACACAGGCTCCAGAACACACAGATCTAAGGTCAAATCTTAGCTGTATCATTTAGTGTCTATACTGTACAGCTTTGAGCAATTTATCATTTCCTCTTGGTATTAAATCAGCAATTATTTGATATAGATTTTGGTGTTTAAAACTTCCAGTGACTTCCTGTCTGCTTGAATGTATGCAGTTAAAGGGAAAAATCAAAGTTCCCTCTTACTGAGTTGCTGTGAGGACTAAATGCAGTAATACATAGGAAGCCTGTAGAGCAGTGTTAACAAGTATGGTTGGTTTAGGCTAAGCACAATAACAAAGATGAATTGACATGGACAGAACCAACACTCTTTCTTACCAGAACATTATATTCTTGAGTTGATTCAGCGAAAGACATTGTTAATTTTATATAATTGAAGTGTTAGGTCTACATCTCCTGGAAAAAAAGTTCTAAGCCATGTCTTTTTTGCAGGTAGAGGAGGCAGATGATTGGCTTAGGCATGGAAACCCCTGGGAGAAGGCCCGTCCTGAGTTCATGCTGCCTGTGCACTTCTACGGAAAAGTAGAGCACTCCAGTGCCGGTTCCAAGTGGGTCGACACCCAGGTATTCAGAGTGCCCTCATGCTGAGCATTTTGTATAGTACAGCACAATGACTAAGTAGCATAGAGTAGATGTGTATATGATATTGAGGATAGTATTGCATATGAATAATACAGTACATTTTGATAAATAAATCTATTACTTCTCATAGTGCAGCCTACTCATTTTGGAGACAAAGGAGCCAAGGCCAAGAGAGAAGTGACTTCCCCAAGGTTCAGTGACTTACCAAGGCCATTTTGCAATCAGTTTTATCAGAGATTAATAAATTCTTTAATCCCAGCATGCCTAGCTCTCCAGTTTTATATAAAGTTGTTGATCCCAAGATTGAATAAAGTTAAATGTCATCTCTCACCCCACTGCCATATGTACATTTACATGTAACGTCTCAGGGATAAATATTTTAAAACTAAGATATTTATCCAAAGGAGTAACAAAGTTCTCATTCATTGCAAAGTCAAGAAAAATAATACAACATATTGAAAAATGTAACCGTGCCAAATCACTTCTTCAGAAATAATGCTAGTGTCCATCCAAGTGTACTTAGTTCATGGACATGTATCTTTCATATCTAGCCACTAGATTTGAGGATTACCCTGTTGCTGAACAGTTCATTTCTCAGCACTCCCAGTGATAGTCTGTGCTCTGCTGTCTTCGTGACCTCCTAATGAATAACCCCTATTAACTCTGCACTGCATTGTCCAGTCATTAGAGGCCTCACTTGAGGTACTGTTCAATAAATATGGTCTCAGGCCTGAAAAGATGTCTCACTGGCAAGTCTTCAAAAGCTTAAGGGAAATGGAACAGACCAAGTAAATGTTCTCACATAGCAAGACTGGGAGTGAAATTCAGCATTGTAATGCTAAATTCAATTGATTTGTAGATTATTCTCAATGAATAAATGGCTCATTTTATCTTAAAAGAATGAAGACCAGTGTTAATAGATGACTTTTTAAGCTGATGATTCATTCTACTAACTCATGTAGAGCTATTCACAGTTCAGAAAAATACGATGTTTTAAAAAGTTTTTCTATCTGAACATGAATTTGTTCAGTGTATGAGATAATGGATTAGAAGCTAAACTGTGCCATTATAGCATAATGGTATAAGGAATAAAGTAATACTGTGATTTCAAGCTGAGTTTCTCTCTGTCTGTCTGTTTTGGTTAAACCATGGACTACAATCTAAGTTGCAGTTGGTTAAAAATATGAATGACCAGAAAAGCTGCAAAACAGTCAGTCATCAATATGCCCAAAGAACTCATGCATGTATTTGGTATTAAATTAGCAATTATTTGATACAGATTTTGGTGTTTAAAACGTCCAATGACTTCCTGTCTGCTTGAATGTATGCAGTTTACACAGATGATCAATCCTGGAAGCATTCTGTTTACACTGTAACAGTTCCCACAGTTGAACTGTATTGTATTTACAGAGCACCTCTAGACATTTTCATAATATAACTACAAATTCAATTAGAGAGACTGTTTTTCTATACCCACAAAGGCAGGATTATGGGCAGGTGTAATACAAAATGAGCTGATCCAAGCCAGGCAGAACTTTGTGGATTTATGGAAGCTATCACCTGAGTCAACCCCAGACTTTTGGGTGCTAAGGTCAGAGAGCATGAGGTCAGACATGGTGCACACAAGCTTTCAGGAATGAGAAATTCACTTCATTCTTGTGTCAGGTCAGGTCCTCTAGGAAGCAGACACCAGAGAGAATTAGGAGTGAAAGTGATATATTGGGGGCATTGCCTATGAGAGTTAAAGGGGAGATGAAGAGGGAGGAGATGTGAAGTCTTTCAGACTGCAAGGCGGGTGTGACTCCTGAGAGAAGAAGAAAGGAAAAAAGAAGAGAGGAGGTTTCTCAGATGGCCATGCAGATCTGTGCAAGCGGCCAGGCTGAGGGCATCTGAGGTTAAAGATGGCTCATGAGAGGAGTGCTGGCTTGAGGTCCCAGGTAGCTTGTTCTGCCTGAAGTTCTCCAAAGGGACATCCAGCCATGCACTTCCCCAGCTGCCTCGGTTACACATTGAGGGTCAGAAAAACAAATTGCTTTTGAACCCAGACTCAGTCTCACTCTGTAAACAGCTTTTCCTGATTGATCACAACTTGCTTTAAAAATCTCCAGAGACCTTTATTTCCTAGTGAAAGATAATCAAAGAAGGGTGATTTTTTACTTCAAAGTCATGTTTGTGAAGGCATGACTGAATATGCATGGTCGATTGATACAGGCTCTAGTGCTTTATTCATTCATAATTCAGCAGACCAAATTGAGAGATTAGTGTTTAGGTTTCAACCCTCCCGCTGACTGTGACCTTCGGCAAGGCACTTTTCTCTCAGCCTCCTTCCAGTGATGTCTTAGAATGAGTGGGTGGCACTAAATGATCTCTAGCATCCTGCAATTTAATTAATCTATCATTCACCTTCCTTAGAGTTTGCCTCTGATGAAGCAGGGAAGAGAAATGAGTCTTTTCCCACATAAATTTTAAGTTGACATGAAACACAGTTCATCTTCTTGTTCTTCTGTATTTCAATGATTTTCATAAATATTGAACTAGATTTTCCAAAGCTCACTTCTTAGACCCATCTCAGCCAATTATCCGTTGATTTGTCAGATCACTGAAATAACTTTTCTTCATGAAACTGAAGAATCTAGCATAGCAATTTAAGCTTCATATGTAATATTCTGTCTTCATGTATTTCCTGTCCCATTGATTTTCACCATATTTGAAATCAGATCATTAAATAGCCTACATTAAATTTACCCTGATTACTATTTTTTAATGGGTACAGATTTGCATTTGTCATTCTATTTGCACATCATATTTTATATTAAAACAATGGCCTGATCTGAAGCATAAAAGATGTGCATTCAGATCAGGGCAAGGCACATACAGAGAAGTCAACATGGAAATGATACAGAGGATGGCTAGATTTTTCCAGTGGGAGGAGGAATCACATGGCCCCTAAACTCCCTCTATTCCTAGGACCCTCATCCTAGTTTAGGCCTCATATAATTTGAGTTGGTAATGGAGCCAGGAACAGAATACCAATTGCCATTCCCAGCCCTTTTCTCAACCTGTGTCATCACACATGGGAAACAGTGAACAGCTGCTTTGGTTTAATCCCACAGGTGGTTCTGGCCCTGCCATATGATACCCCAGTGCCTGGGTATATGAATAATACTGTCAACACCATGCGCCTCTGGTCTGCTCGGGCGCCGAATGACTTTAACCTTAGAGACTGTGAGTACAATGTGGACTGTAATTTCTTTGTATGTATGTAGTTTGATATTTTCTGTCTCAGAAACAACCATATTAGTACTGTACTCTACAAAGATGGCAAAAAACAGGGACCTTGGGAACTAGGACATAAATGGTTTCTGTGTGTGTGTGTTTAACTTCTTTGATTGCTAGTTAGAACCAAATTGAGCTTGAGAAAAACACATTGAGTTTCTGAACTCTTCAGCAATTAAGCAGTGATTTTATGGTGCAGGTGTGAAAGACATTTTTAAAGTAGTCCTTCAGTCTGGCCTCTTAGATTTTCATATGAGTCACAGGAGGAAGGTTTTTTGTAATCCTTGTGGATTTTAGGAATTTTAGGAATCCCATGTGGCTCGCATCAGGAGAGATCAAGGGTCTTTGAATACAGTGGCTGGCTTGTCCACTTGTTTATTTTTCTAACATTTCCCACAGTTAATGTTGGAGACTACATTCAGGCTGTGCTGGACCGAAATCTGGCTGAGAACATCTCCCGGGTCCTGTATCCCAATGATAATGTGAGTGATCAAGTTTGTGTTCTGAGTGGAAACAGAAGCTTATTTCAGAAGTACTTTTTCAATAGCCCTATAAAGCATATCTTTAATATTGATTTTTTTTTCCTTCATGCAGAATAATGTCCTTATCTCTTCCTGAATTGTCTAGATATCCCTTCCCATTCAAGTTAAGAAAACAAATTTGTATAATTCGTAAAATCAGAATTGGTATTTGCCCTTGTTTTGTGACCCCATGACTAATTGGGAAGTTCTGTTACATGCATTTCAAAACAAAACTTGCATATAAAAGGTAAGATGAAGTGCTAGTGAAGCACTGCTTCCTTTCCACACAGAAATTTCACCCACAGAGTGAGAAGTCTCTGGAGGCCTCCTGCCTGGCCTCTTCCCCTTGCTGATGGGCCTCTTCCTGGCCCTCTGACCCCATGCAAGATGGGGTTTTGAACCTCAGAGCAGATGCAGGAGCAAACACTTGTTTCTTACGTCACTTACTCATCTCTTTAAACTTTTTCTTATAAGTGATTATTCCTAATTTTACACTAAAAATAGCTTAGCTTAAAAAAACACTTAGAACTGGATCTCAGATGACCACAATAAACTCTTAGTTGGTTTAAATGTATTTAGCTCTGACTTCCATATGGGTAAAATAATTTTCCTGAAGCTATAACAATTTTTTTTAAAATAATAATCTCAGAAGCAACCAAATTTCTGTGTTCTACAAAGGTGGCACAAAACAAGCGTTTGAGGAATAGAACATACATGATTTTTAAGACCAGATGTCCACTTTTTTATTTTCCTGTTTTTATAATTGTTGACTCCCCACTACTGAAGGTCAGAATATAGCTTATTTCCTCCCATACATTTCCACCCCCCTAACCCACATTTCCTAACCCACTTCTCTCTACATAATTACATTGTAATTTTCACTAGCTCCTTAATCAGTGTTTAAATTACAGCTGATCTATACATATATGTGTCATCATATAATGATTATTTTTCCTTAAAAAAGTATTTGTTTTTCCTGGATTGAATAATTGTTTGCCTGCATGGTTTTCTGACTGTTTTTCTCTGATTTAGCCTATGCTTCACCTCAGCTGTAGAAATTTCTTCTCAGTATATTCAAACACATGTGGCATTCCTTTAATTCAACCTTTCTGAAAAGCCTCTTCTGCTCCTCTCCAGTCGGCTGCCACATTGTGGTCTGGTGGGGCCGTTGCCTGGTGGAGCCCCGCGTGTGTGTGTCCAGGCATTCCCACTTGGGCTGGTCAGAGTCCCTAAAGAAGACTCTGGCAGCTTTTTTCCTGGTGGAATTAATATTGGCTGCCTGTGTTCTGAAATTTGGATGGGAGAAGAAGGCTGAGAGTTTCGACATTCAGCACGTAAATTTCTACTTAACTCCCTTTCCCACCTTCTCATTATGTTTTGGGATCCCTGCCTTCAGCTGTGCCTCCTGTCCTCCAGTTCAGAGACTCCTGTTTTGACATCTGCATAAAATACAGCTCCAGCTTCTGCCTGAATTGGGAAAGGAAATTGTTCTGCTGAGGGAACTGGAAATGATGTCTGAGGCCACCTGCCTCTTAAGCAGATTCTCAACTGACCTTTTACCCCATCTTCAACCCTATTGTCAAGGGCACTTGGTACTGCCAAGTCCTGGGCCTTTGGGAACTTCAGTATATAACTTGAATTGCCTTTTGGCTCTTTTCCATTACCACATCAGGATTTAGCTTTCCTGGGTCTTCTGGCTCAATTACCACTCATCCATCTATTTCTCAGCTTCTAAAAAGTTGCTGTTTTCTTCCCCCCATTCCCTACCTTTTCCCATATGCCTTTTAGGAAATCCTTTTACTGTCATTTTAGTGGTGTTTCAGGAAATAGCAAATGCTAATGCTTGGTGTTCCACCTGGCATCTTCCTTCAGCTATCCGGTGGGCTTTATCCTTAAAGTTCCCTGGGCAGGCGACACTGATCATGTTTTGACCATGCCTAACAGTGTGAGCCATTCTCAGTCTCTCTCTGGCTTGAAGTTTTTTGAAGGGAAGGAGCTAAGACTGAAGCAAGAGTACTTCGTGGTCGCAGCTACCTTGCAAGATGTCATTCGACGCTTCAAAGCCTCCAAGTTTGGCTCCACCAATAGTACCAGGACTGCATTTGATGCCTTTCCAGACCAGGCAAGTATTCGGTCTCTAAACAGGAACAACTATGGGGGTCAGGACTTCCCATCAAATTTATTACCCAATGTCAGTGCTAAAAAAAGTTGAGTAAGTGTAGTATGTTTAAAGCATTTCATAGAAGGTGGGCATAGAAAGCCAGACCCCAGGCCATCAGCCACCTTCATGCTAATGTCTTTTCCCCACACAGGTCGCCATCCAGCTGAATGACACTCACCCTTCCCTTGCCATCCCTGAGCTGATGAGGATTTTTGTGGATATTGAAAAATTGCCATGGTCCAAGGTCTGGATGATTTGGTTTATTTTTCCTTGAATTAACCAGAGTATCTGTGGTGGAGAGATTTTACCAAAATCTCCTTATACAGCTTTTCATAATAAGTTACTATTGCTAACTTCCAGTAGATGAAGGCAAATTTTGCCCTGATGCTAACATTATCTCCATCATTACTGCTTTAATGCTTTACGGTAAAGAAATAAATAAATTCCTGAAATAAATACATTCCTAATGGAATGCATATTCAATAGTGTATTAGGGCTTATATTGTGTTTACTATTATTGTGTCTCTGACTTCCGAATACAGCTAATTGAAGTCTTCCTATTGCTTTTATAACTCAGTATTTTGAACATACTTTGTGCCTTCTCAGAACATTACTTAAGTTTTTATTCCTGAAATACTGCTTATTTAATAAATCCAAAATGTTAGGATAGTAGAGAAAATTTATCAAACAGGTTTACAAACAGCTGCTTTTTATTTTTTTCCAAAACCATGTTCCCAATCTCTAGACCCTTAAGGAACCTAGTGGAATCAAGTGTGTCTACCGGTATACATGAAGATAGAATTGTCTCGCTGCAGCCAGGCAGGAATTGAGGGAACATTTGGCCCTGTGCAGTTGTGCAATGGAGTGATGGAGCAGACACCTGCAAGGCAGGCTTTCTTGCAGAGGAAAGCAGCTAACCCCTCCCCCTTTCCCACAGGCTTGGGAGATCACCCAGAAGACCTTTGCATACACCAACCACACAGTGCTCCCAGAAGCCCTGGAGCGCTGGCCTGTAGAGCTGGTGGAGAAGTTGCTTCCTCGACATTTGCAAATCATTTATGAGATAAATCAGAAGCATTTAGATGTAAGTTATTTTGAGAGATTCATACTCCTTTTAAGAATGAGGTCATTCTTAAATGTTGAGATGTTGACAGTGGCTACCGTGTTCCCTCTTACCAAACACAAGGGCCAGACATCTTTCAATCACTGATACATCAAAAGTGTTCAAGTCTGGGTGGGGCTCTGTTGAAGACACCTTTTTGAAATACTAAAGTGGAGAGAGAGCATCTTCCTACAGTTAACCCACCCCTCTCTGGAAGTGAAGTTTTATATTTGCACACCAAAGATTTAGCTTGGGAAGTGAAATGATGTCATCTCAATGTTACCTTAAACCTGAGTGACCAGCAAGGTCTCTCTTCCTTTGGCTAGAAAATTGCAGCCTTGTTTCCTAAAGATGTCGACCGTCTGAGAAGGATGTCTCTGATAGAAGAGGAAGGAGGCAAAAGGATCAACATGGCCCATCTCTGCATCGTCGGCTCCCATGCTGTGAATGGTGTGGCTAAAATTCACTCAGACATCGTGAAGACCCAAGTGTGAGCCTCCATCCCTGTGGTTGTGGGTCTAACGTTGCTCCACTAAGAAAGCGAGGCTAGTAAATGCAGAGGGGCATTTGGGAATGAGGAAAGGCCCTGTCAGAATGTTTAAAAGTACTTTCTTCTATACAGACTACCTTTCCCCTAAGAAAGAAAAGGACTTCCTCTCTGAGCCATCCTAATTCTAGATTTGGGAGCCAAGAAAAACTATTCTGCTGAAAAGTTGGGTATATATGTCAATGCCAGGAAATCATATGGAGATGACTAGATTTGAGATTTTTCTTGTCATTATTTTGAATTGCAAATGGATTTCTATTTAGAATGACTGCTGTAGCTCTGTCAGCCCCTCCTACCACCTTTATTTAATCTTTCTGAGCCTACACTCAGCTTCTTGAGTGTGGCTCTGAACTTCATCCAGCATGCAGGAATCTGCTGTTCCAGCCAAATTCAGTGATGTGACTCTTCTGTCTCCAGATTCAAGGACTTCAGTGAGCTAGAACCAGACAAATTTCAGAACAAAACCAATGGGATCACTCCAAGGCGCTGGCTCTTACTCTGCAACCCGGGTCTTGCAGAGTTAATAGCAGAGGTAACTGGGAAGTGGTGGAGGAAGGGAGGCCTGTCGGCAATGCAAGAGGCATAGGAGTACACTTAAAATTTGCAAATCCAGTCTGCAGCAGGCTGGCTTCATCGGTGTACAACTTGCAGTCCCACCGGGCTCTGTGCTTGACTTAATTATCTTGCTGTAGCCATCTTGAAATTCTTCCGTCTTGAACAAGGGACCCCACAAGCTATGTAGCAGGTCCTTGCTAACAGTACTCACATGGCACAGAAGGAAGATGGTAATGCTATTGATAAAAGAGGATAACAATGGTTATATAAATAACTAGTAGAACCTGGGTTCTTTATCACCCTTTTTTATGGAGATTTTCTGCTTTTAACCCTTAATACCACTGCAACTACATTTAAGATACTAGCAAAATGTTCTTTCACACGGCATCCGTAGCTCTCATATGAGGGCAGCCCTCCTGTTGTAGGTGACTACGAGTACTCAGCAGACTGAGAAACTGTTCATTTGGGCTTGACTGCCACCCTGATTAAACCTTTCCTTTAAACTGAAAGAAAATTGGGGAAGATTACGTGAAAGACTTGAGCCAGCTGACAAAACTGCACAGCTTCCTGGGTGATGACATCTTCCTCCGGAAAATTTCCAATGTGAAGCAGGTGAGGCCTCCCAGTGTGCATTCTCTCCCTCGCACTTGCTCTAAGGGGTTATGCTCCAGGGTGTAAAAACAAACCACCTGACACTTCTAGGTGAAAACACCTCTGGCATTGTGCTCTGTCTCAACAGGAGAACAAGCTGAAGTTTTCTCAGTTCCTGGAGAAGGAGTACAAAGTGAAGATCAACCCATCCTCCATGTTTGACGTGCAGGTGAAGAGGATCCATGAGTACAAGCGGCAGCTTCTGAACTGCCTGCACGTGGTCACGATGTACAACCGTGAGTTGGCTCAGCAGCCACGGCACCCCTGGGGGTGGGAGTAGCCCTCTCTTAGGGCCCGCCACCCAAGCCACCAACTGTTCTCCATTCCATCCACTTCTCCATCTTTTTCAGGCATTAAGAAAAACCCTAAGAAGTTATTTGTACCCAGAACTGTTATCATTGGTGGCAAAGTAAGTCAATTCTATTCACTGGAGGCTTGAGAGCTCTAATCTCTTGCCATTTCCCCATTATGGCTGCATTTTATCAAGTGTGTTTTACTTTCTTCCCTAAGGCTGCCCCAGGATATCACATGGCCAAAATGATCATAAAGCTGATCACCTCCGTGGCAGAAGTGGTGAACAATGACTCTGTGGTGGGGAGCAAGTTGAAACTCATCTTCTTGGAGAACTACAGAGTGTCTCTTGCTGAAAAAGGTAGTGCCCTCATTGCCAACTATGTAGGACCATGCACCTGCCAGGGAGAGAGTACGTGGGAAAATGGGGCAGCTGAGCTCGGAACCAGTAACTCGGATAGGTGTTGCTCTTGGGCAGAGTAAGAGCCTAAGCTAAGAGCTTTTAATGTGACCCAACCAACAGTGCAGTTGCTATCCCCAGACTCAGTATCACATCAAATTTTCCTCCTGCTGGTCAAAGCTGGTGCTGGAAAAGGTAGCCCTGAGGTTTTGGTAAAGTACAGACTGTGCTGTACAAAAGAAGGGAAAGGTCTTTGGTTCTTAGCCCCATTTTTACAAGAGAACACCAGTTCCACAGTCCCCAGCTACTGCTCTGGTCATTTCATGGAATAAAGGGCTGTCATCTGTTCATGTGGCAACAGATGTCGTGAGGACAGATGTCAGGCTGCCAAAGCATAAGGCTTAGATGTGCCTTAGAGGGGCACTCAGGGATCAAACATGGGGTTCCCACGTGAGGAAAGCCCAGCTGGCAGGAAACCAGCATCCCTTTCTTTCTTGCTGGGACCTTTGCTTATTTGCATCATGTGCTCACAAAGCATCATCCACATGCAGATGACAACTGTATATTCACCGTGACAACTGTATATTCACCGTTAACCAATTGAAAAGAACCTATCTCTTGTTGAGATGCTTAAGAGTCGTTTGCATAAAGGGAAAATAACCAGGTTCCTAAAGATGCAAATGAAAATAATCTAATCCACAAATAAGCTTTCAGGCAGATAATTTGTCTTGACCCTTTATAGTCACAGAGGAAGGGGAGCCTTCAGGCAGCACTGATTTGTGTAAATAAGGCTGAAAGGTCAGACAGAGGCTTGGTGTCTAGCCCTAGGCACACCTCAGATACAGATGGCTCATTTCCCTGCCTGGCAAGTGGGAGGAGGGAGATGTGTACAGAATGCAGACAGTCCAATTTCCTCCAATTGCAGGAGGGGTCAGGAGAGACTGAATTTAAAGAATCATGAAAGAGAAATTTCAGTATATTTTATAATGTTATAAAGTAGAAGAAATAAAAATAAAACCATAACAAAAATTGGAAGGAAAAAGGGGAGGAGAGAAATGCTATGGTCAGCTTTTATAGCAGAGAGTCAATAGATGTACTTTAAAGTTTACAGACCAAGATCACAATGTATATAATGGCCAAATCCCTATGTTGTACACCTGTAATGAATAAAATATTGGGTATCAACTATACTTTAGTAAGAAAAATAAAGTTTATAGACCAAGAAAGAGTAGTATAAGCATATAGTTATTTAGTACCGAGTCCATAATCACCAAGACAGCACATCAAAAATGGACAAAAGTGGTTGCCTGAGTCAAGGGGAAATGTAGAATCTGTACTTCTACACCATTTGAATGTGTATCTTGATGTACATGTACCAGTTAAATGATCAAAACAGGCCAGGTAAATAAATGATTGGTTACAATACAAACAGATCAAGAGAGCAGGATCACTAATGTTAATATACCTTGCTTGCAGTCATTCCAGCCACAGATCTGTCGCAGCAGATTTCCACTGCAGGCACCGAGGCCTCGGGGACAGGCAATATGAAGTTCATGCTGAATGGGGCCCTGACCATCGGGACCATGGATGGGGCCAATGTGGAGATGGCAGAGGAAGCCGGGGAAGAAAACCTGTTCATCTTTGGCATGCGAATCGAGGATGTGGCTGCTTTGGACAAGAAAGGGTGAGAGAGCAGTTCCTCCTTGGGCAGGTGGCCACCCCCTTGGGAGGATACCTACCCACCCAGGTATTTTACTGAGGTTGGGTTACATGAATTCTGGCAGCAGAACCTCTCCCATGAGTCTGGGGAGCCTCCTGGCCACAGATTAGTTTTGTTAAGCCCAGCAAGTGAAAGTGAAAGGAGCTTGAACACAGGTCTGTGGGATCATTGCTATTTGTTATCAGCCATTGCAGTTATCCTTAGTGAGCTATTCACTTCTCTGCATCTGTGATTTTTACTTTGATAAAAAAAATGAACTGGTTTCTAGTTGAGGTTTTTGCCTATAAGTTAAGCCATCAGTGTTCCTTTAAGATCTCAAAGAGATGGACTAAAATGTGATGGAGGCCAAGTATGGATGTACAGAAGCACCCAGGGATATTTTTTTCACTTAATATCTAGATAGGTTTATTAACCTGGATTCAAACACTAGAGAAACACTACCCGAGGAACTATGGGGATCACAAAATATGGAGGGTGTTGAATATACTTTCTGACCTTAAATTTCCACTCAGCAACAAATTTGGGAATCTGTGGGTGCAAAAAGCAACTGCTTCACTTAACATAATGCTTCTGTAGTCATTGAATCTACCTTGAAATGAATCTTGCTGAATTTTACCACATTGGATATTGCTCTGTGACTAGAATTTTTATTTTTATTAGTGTCTTTCATTACAAAGAACTAATCAGATTTAGGGGGGAAATTTTCAAGATGTAGTCAAATATTCATACCTGTTTTTAACTCTATAATGAGTTCTGTAAATGCTAGTATTTCTGAATGCATTTTTTACAGCTAATGTAGTGTCTATTGCGTTGTTAATCACAAAAACTAACAGGGCCTTTCCCTTTTCTCCCCCACTACTCAGGTATGAGGCAAAAGAATATTATGAGGCACTTCCAGAGCTGAAGCTGGCCATTGATCAGATTGACCATGGCTTCTTTTCTCCTAAGCAGCCTGACCTCTTCAAAGACTTAATCAACATGCTATTTTATCATGACAGGTAAGTTCCTACAAGAAGAGGGTGTTTTTGGACCATGGAACCAGGAAAAGAACATCTTAAACCAACTCCAGCCCGCCCATCCAGATTAGCCTAGGTTTGTGATCTGATAAGCTAACCTACACTTGCAAAGAAAAACTGGATAATCTCTACTACTAGCTAATGCTAGGAACGTTGAAGAATCAGACCCACAAATCTGGTGTTCTTTTCCCTTTCCACTGCTGTATCCAGCTTTCAAATGCAGACATATGACATTCTTACTTGTGGGGAAAACCATAGAAAGGTTGAGGGCTGGTTAAAATCCTTATAGAAATGTAAGTTTGGTAAACCAGCTGTGCCTGACATTAAGCAAAAGAGAATTTAAATGGAATCTTAGCACACATCTCTTAATGAAGCTTTCTGTTGTTTTGTTTTTCTCCTTTGAATCAAACACACAAACACACAAACAGATTTAAAGTGTTTGCAGACTATGAAGCCTATGTCAAGTGTCAAGAAAAAGTCAGCCAGCTGTACATGGTGAGTATATTGACAAGACTTACAAAGGAAAGCAGTTGACCATGGTAAACTGAATTTTGCCATAATTTATTATTAATTTTGCCATTAGTTTACCATGTACCATTAATTTAACTAATCAATTAAAATTTTTATTTCTTTTTATTAAATCTAACAGGAGGCCCATGAACCAGTCAAAAAAGAAAAGTGAGGCAACTGTCCAGATAATTCAGATCAAAGCAACTTTGCCCAAGTACAGGCAGAGGTTGGGACTTGACATTTCAGTAGCAGATGAAATATTTTTAATATCCAAGTAAAAAATCACAAATAATTCAATATTTATTGAGGACCACCATGTAGCAGTCATGTCCTAGAAGCTGCTATAAGGCAAAAAAAATACTCATTTCACCCACTCATTTACTCAGCAGAGAAGCTCTGGGGCCTTCTCCATGGCAGGGACTGTGCTGGGCACTGCGACCCCAGTATGGACAGAGTCAAGGCCCTGCCCTCCCTCCCCTCAAGAAGTCTGTTCAGTGCTGGAGTCCTTAACCAGAAGTGCTCATCAGAGTCACCAAGACAGTGTTTTCAAAGTACAGATGCCAGCCCCCTTCTGAGAGTTCTACCCCAGTAGTTCATGAGATCACCATCAGTATTTTAAAAACCTGCTAAGATGACTCTCAGACTGAGCCTCATTTAATTGGGATAAGAACCGAACCCCTGTTCCTTGAAAACTGCAGAGTACCTCTACTGGACTACTCAAGGAGTGGGGCTATATGCAGAACATAAATGTATAAAATGAGGGGAGGTTTCATATTTAAATTTTTTTAAAGGAACAAGAAAGATGATAATTTATTTTAAAAAAACAAAAGCTAGAACCAAGGTAGATAACCTTCACATGCAAAGTTATACTTTATAAAATAGCCTAGCCATCTAGGATTATTTAGTAAGTAAATATATGGAAACATTGATCATCTGTGATAAGACTTTCAGTAATTTTAGGCCCCACAGAAGAATAGATACAGGAAGAGGCTGGCTGTGTGCCCAAACTCCAGGACAGGTCTCTTGGCGCTGATGCTCTTGGCCTTCTGGTTGCCCTTGCCCATACAGTCTCTGTTATTGCCCTTCTCCTAGAAAGCCATTATATAGCAGAACAGTGAGGGTACATAAAATCTCCACCCCTGCCCTTTGGAAAACATCAGTAACTACTTCCAACAGAAACATGCTTTGCTAATATATCTTTCCCTTCCTTTCCCAAAGCAGCTGACAGGGTAGTTCCTATAGTCATCCTGTAGGTCCCATTGGGGTTTTAAAACAGGATCATTCAAGAACCCTGTAGGTTTATAGGCCTTATATTCTGATAGAGTCACATCCAGTTCCCCAAAAGTGTATAAACCAGAGCAAAGTTATGGCCATAAGCAAGGAGGGGAAGTACTAGTGCTAAGCCAAGTGGCTCACTTCCTGCTTCCTGAGCGCTAGCGATCAGCCATGTACAGCCTCCAAGAACTCAAAGACAGAGGAAAGAAGATGGCCACCTCCTGCTCTTTCCTCTTGATGTCAACCCATGCTTGTATGCAGAAAAGCTACAGAGGAAAAGAAATATAAATAAAACAGAGCAGGAAAGGAAAATATGAACAAAGGCAAAGGCAAATGGGAATGTCAGCTTTGCACAATGAGTCTCTTCTACTAACATTAAGGTCCAAATCCAAAGATGCCTGTCTCAAAGCCCAGCATTTGGTTCAGTCTTTCTTGTTCATTAGTGCAAGTTGCAGTTTTTAGTCTTAACAATAATTGTATTGTTGGGCTTAGAAAACATGTCCTACATGGCTGGGAAGTCTATTCATTATCCATTTAAATAAAGAAAGCAAAGAGAGGAAGCTTTTATTCTCTTATTCTTTTAGTAAGTTTCCAAAGTCTGAATAAACTAATTTCAGCCTCTGTTTTGCAGTATCCTAAGGAACAATTATATTTTTAGTCATTTAAATGCTTATAGTGCATTGCTAATGCTTTGAGTAATGTTCTTGTCATTTATAATGAACTTGTAGAGTTCTTTACAAAATCATGAGACTATAAAATAAACATCCTCTTATATTTGTTTACCTAAAAATTATGAATTTTTATTTTATGTATTTTTATTGAGGATAAGGCCTTAATTGATCCTGTTTTAAAACCCCAGTGAAGTATTTGGGGTTTACTATAAATCTACTGGGGCATCTATCTTCAGAAAGAACAAGAGAAGAGAAATAGGTCAGTAAAATCTCCATTGTGGTTTGCCTACATGATAGCTAACTTTCTAGAGTAGTGCTTTTTAATTTTGACTGACCCACAGGTTAAATCTCTTAACACAGCATCTGGCATATAATGAATGTTAGTCCCTTCCTTAGTTTAAAGGGAGGTAAAGTAAAAATAAAGCAGGGGAAAATATGACTTACAAGTCAAAACTTTGTAACCATTAGGAAATTTATATCCATGGTTCCTCTTAAGGTGAAAAGTACTTTTCTTTTCATTCTTGACAGAAATATATCCCAAATGGGAGAAAAGCACAGCCTGCCCTATTTAGCTCTCAAATGTGAAACAAATGTATTTAGGGTTCTTTACAATTTACCTGTCATTTTCCCCATGTGTGCCTGAATATGCACTGTATGGCATTTGTCATGAAGTTCGATGGCCACTTGAGCCCTGGGCCACATATGCATGTATTGTTCACAGAATCCAAAGGCCTGGAACACCATGGTACTCAGAAACATAGCTGCTTCGGGGAAATTCTCCAGTGACCGAACTATTAAGGAATACGCCAGGGACATCTGGAACATGGAACCTTCAGATCTCAAGATTTCCCTCTCCAATGAATCTAGCAATGGGGTAAACAAAGCCAATGGAAAGTAAGTTGTAAAATGTCTCTAGAGAAAAATAGTTTCTTATTGGACCATTTTTACAACATTCTTTGATTCTGTTTTGTCAGCTAATACCTAGTTAAGAATATGGGATTGGGAGGGAAAGCTTATGACTGTGATAGGGTTAAAAATAAAGTGTCCATTTCCCAGGGCTACGTGAGTACCAAAACATATTATTTTCTAGCAGATTGAGTAGCATACTAGGATTTTCCACGATTTAGAAAGGTAGAGAACTGCCTGGAACTTTTTAATGCCATTTAAATTAACTAAACTAAAATATAAATTATTTAACTACATTGGAGTACTTTTCTTACCCTGCTAAGTCCAAACCAAAGACCATCTTATTCACAAATATCCCCAGGATGTTTAGTAACTACACATTTTTAGACAGGATCCAAATTTACCAAATTCTGACTCTCGACAGTAAGGTTTCAGCATGTTCTGCAAAGTAGACTATGATAAGCTAAATAAGAAGATTCCATACCACCATCATGCATGCATTTCCTTACTAAAAGGACAAGTGACTTTTAGAAATCTCAGTGACTTCAGCTTATCCAAGCAGCCCAGTACAATTTTACATAAAAATGTGCATCTCAGATTTTATTTGTACCAAGTTTTCACTGAAAATTTCCACAGCTCTCAGCCCATTGCTTGCTCAGGAAGTCCCTGCAGAAAAAGGTCCCTGCAGTAAAAGGTCCCTCCAAGATCAGCTCACATGCTTTCCTTTCCCCACCTCATGGTCTAAGTAAGGCAGAACAGCCCTAACTGCCTTTAAGGGAAATGTAATCACATTTAGCAAAGCACAGTTCTTACCTAACAGTTTTTAACAGTAGAGGGCTTTTACAAAAGAAGTTGTCCTGGAAGCCAGGAGGAAAGATCACCGTCTTGACCCTCTCTGTGTTCCTGTGTGCACTGTGTGCAATTTCATAGAGCTGCAAGGGACAGAAAGACAGACACTCAAAGGCTGATAATCAGGGTGTTGTTTTTCGTGTCTAATTTTCCTAAAAAAGTACAGAAAGAAATAACTTAGGGAGTTAGCCCCCTTAAGTCAGAGATATGGGGACTCTCCACATCCCCAGTTGGCTGCTCTTCCAGCTAAGGAACTAAGAGCTACCCAGCTAATACAGAACGTCCACAGATCCTCCTGTTTAAGTCAGCACTCAGCTCTCAGTTTACCTTTTTTCCAGACTCTAAAGGCAGCACTATATTGTCATCCTCACCATGTACGATGAGAAGGGGAGAAGACAGGAATTTAACACTAGGGACAAGTGGAAGAAAGGCATTCAGTTCAAGAATTACTGTTGGGATTTCTCCTCTTCTAAGTTAAAGCTTTACCAAAACATGACATTTGCCCAAAATACAAGAACTCTCTTTTCTTCCCTCCTAGGAATAACAACTTCATATATGATAAACTTCATATAGTAATGTTTTTTTCCTCCAGGCAATATTTTCTCTCCTCTATTTACTTATACAGTCTAATTAGGTATTTATAATTTGATTTATTTCTATATGATTTTTTTTGAATGAAGAAGAAAAATAATGTGTGCAGAGTTAGAAAAACTCACCTTTTTCCTTATTCAACCTTATTTCATGATATCTGGAGTATTTTAACTAAAAGATTGTAGAAGAAAACAAAACAACTCAAAACCCCAAAATAACAAGAACCAACACAGGACCAAAGGCAACTCACTGTAGCAATTTATTTACTTTTCCCCATAAATATACAGGTTTGGACACACGAGTAACAGGTTTGACTAGCTTCCTGGTCAACCTCTTAGTTTGGTAACTCAAAAAGGCATGAAAAAGGACTTGTTCCGCACTCTATAATGACTTTCTTAAACAGTACTTCCCCATCTACCCTTGCTTGCCCCAGTGACTCACTGCTGCTCTTGAGAATGTTAGCTCCCTCAAGTGTGTCGAAATAGAAAAAGGTAATAATGATAATGCTATAGGGAGGCACTCAAATTCTCCAGCTGAGAGAGGCTAACTTGCCAAATTTTGATCATTGGACTTGCTGTTGGGTTAGTAGTATGGATGGTTGATGGGTTTTGTTACATTGGGAATAAAGTCTGAAAGTCAGGGATCCCCCAGGGAATATCAGGCTAGATCCTAAAGGACCTTTAAAAAGTCCTGATAGATTCTAAATCTACAACTCCCTTGATGTTTTAAGAGAAAGTCCTGAATTGGTGAAGTCGTAAGATTAGACATGAGGAAAATATCAAATAATAGAAATTTGCAGATACCTTACCCCAATCTTAGTGCCCATCCAAGAATTCTCATCTACCCATTCAGTAAATCACATGATAGTTACCTGCCTCCCCCAAATCCCATACGTAGGGATTTTGTCATTACCTTACTTTTCATCATTAGGGAAGACTATTCTGTCTTCTCTCAGGGCATCCATAAGCATGCGTAAAAATCCTGGAAGTTTTCAGTAAATCTGTTTTTTGAAAGGGAAAAAAAATTATATATAGCTGCATCATTTGTTAGTTACCCATTATGAACTGTGGTAATGAAGAGTAGTGACTTTTTAAATATAACAAACTTAAAAAAAAAATCTTTTATGATTTTAGAAGTACTTGATATCATTGTAGGGAATTTGCAAAATACAGAAAAGAAGAAAGAAGAAACAAATCACACATAATCCTGCCATCCATTGATAATCCCTGTTAGCAGTTTGTTGTTTTTCCTCCCTATCTTTCTTTAAAATACAGATAGCACCACTAACTCTTACTTCTTCATATTCATAAATGGCCAAATGATAGGCATATTCTAAAAGCTGCTTCCATAGTGAACATAACTAACTGGTTTAGTTGGGGGGCAAAATATTCTGATGAGTCAAAAATTCTGATTAAAGTATGCAAATCATAGATAAATGGTTTTAAAGGATTTGAACATTATAAACACTTTGAATATGATTTTTCAATGATTTAAAAGGCATTTAAGGTTTTTAAAGTGACCACAGGATTCAAAATATAACAATTTTCATTCTAAATGTTCTGAATTTCCTTTTTAATGGCAAATTCCAGTAAACAAAATGCTAGGTAAATCAGTTTTAACATGGTTTGATTAAGTCAATAGGTAAATTAGTTTATATGTCCTAAAAAGTTCCATTTCACCTGAAAATAAGGAAGGACAGAAACCCTGAGCCATATCACACCTTCCTCACAAACTAAACCCTATCTTCAAACTAAATCCCAAGCCATTCGTTTTTCTCCATTTCCACTATCCCCCAGCCTAGTCCACAGGGCATTTCTCACTTGGATTATGCAAACAATCCCAGGTGGCTCCCTGCTTCCACCCTCACCCTGCTATAGGCCAGCTTCCACAGGGAAACCATTTTAATGTGCAGCTCACATCACTCTTTGATTCACATCGTCCGCAGGCACATGGATTAAAACCAAGCATTCCTCTGGCTTTCAGCCCCTGGAGAGTCCTACTGCCGCCTCTATCTCCCATCACTCAGGCCACTCCTCGCCCCGCTCAGGCCCTGCTGGCTTCTGCTTCTAGAGCACAGGCTTGACTCCGCCTCTGGGCCCTTGACTTTATGCTCTCTTAGCCCGAGACCAGGAGAGGTTTTCCCACGATGGCTGGCTCCTTACCACGCAAGTCTCAGCCCAGAGGATATTTCTCCGGAGAGTTTTTCCCTAACCAGCTGTCACACTATGCCACCCACTGACCCAGTCACTCCCGGTCACATTTTACTCACAGCACTCCTCACCATTGAATGTCAGCTTATTGTGCAGTTGTCTTCTCTCTGTCTCTCCAGTGAGGAAATAAACTTCATAGGACGATGGACCATAGCTTTCTTATTCCCTGTGGTAACCCCAGAACCTAGAAACTTTTCTGGTACCTCATAGACACTTGATAAATATTGGCTAAAGATAGAATGAACCTAGGTGCAAATGCCCCTAATTTGCTACTATCTGTCATTTTTATTTTAGTGTGACTGAATGTCATTCAGATTTTATTACAGGTATTCCTCTAATGTGCCTAAGAGGGGAGTGAAAGGAGAGCTCAGTGTATTAAATGGGACATTGCTGAGGGAAGAAAGTGGGTACAGGAATAGGTAGGCTGGAGCCAGTAAATACAATCATTTGCTTCACAGTTTAAAAATAAAATAATCATGTCACTATAGAAGCAATTCTTAGGTTATGTATGTCACTGCTCTTTTATGAGTATGGAGAAATTAGTTAGTTGCTATATGTCATGTGTAATAATACAGAGAATAGTAACTTTCTGAATATAATAAGCTTAAAACAATTTTTTCCTGCTGTTATAGAGTAATTCATGTCATGGTAGGGAATTCGGTAGGGGAATGGGTACAGAATAGGTAGGCTGGGGCCAATAAAGACAAACTTATGCTTTGACAATTTTGGCCTTGGCCTGCTGTTCCCAGGCCAGGAGAGGTAACCCACCCAGGGATTGGCCTGTCTCACAGTTTTTGTGAAGCGATCTGCATTCAGGTGCAGTCTGGAGATCCTAACACTGCTGCTTCCCTTTCTTCCTTTTCCCTCCTCTTACCTATAACTAAGGGCAAGGTTTCTTGTTTTGTTTTCTTTCTTCTTTGTCTTTTGATTCCACCACCCCTGGCATCAGGACTCCTCAGTGAAATTCAATGAGAAGCCCTTCAGCAATTCATCTCAAATTCCATAGGAGTAACAAAAAAGTAGTCCATCTATTCCCCTTATTCCTCACCAGCCAGAGATGCCCCTTGAGACTCAGAGGTCATCCCATCCCCTCCAGCCCAGACCATAGCAATGGGCTTCTAATTGGAAGCCCTGCCTCCTGTCTCTTCTGGAATGCCACAGATAAATGTTCTTAAAATAGCAGTTACATGAAATTGGCTGTTAACAAAGCTTTGGCAATGCCACACTTGCTACTAAAAACAAAACAAAAAAACCCTGGTTTGGCAGCAAGCCTTTTCACATCTGACCATAGTCTTTAATTCCAAAGGGTTTATACCTCCAATCTGTCTGCCTGGAATT